AATCTAACCCAACTACCTAATTATACCTATGCTATAAAGAAAGGCGCCATTAACACACACACACACACTCACTAATACACGCATAAGTTCAAACGGGGCTTTAAATATTTTAAGTTGCCAGCTAGCATAATGAGAATATTACGCATTAGGGGTAGTCACGATAATGGGAGAAAATTTAAAGAACAAATTAAAGGTTGAAAAATACTCTAATCAAAGTTTACGACGTGAGTTGACTAAAGGTTAAAAAAAAAGTAAAAGATAACATATTTAATATAGAGTGACATGAGTAGTACATCTCCTATTTTATTTCAGTAATATTTTTATATGTTGTTTATTTTATTTTTTATTATTTTGTTTTCCTCTTGGGTATACAAATGAATATATATATAATAATTTATTATTATTTTTTTAATTTTTGCTTACATTTAATATTAATTAATTTAATGTAATTTTTTTATTTATGCCCAGGGTTTTTAATTGAACATTTTAGTTAAATAAAATAAGCGTGGATATTATAATAATATGCCAACAAATAAAAATATTATTAAAGTTTGCCAAGTTAATTGTTCAATAATATTTTAAAAATGCTATGATTAAAAAAAATAAACAAAAATTAGTCTGAGAGACAGACTACCCTCAATAATTAGTTGCGAACAATTTAATGACAATTAAAAAAATTGTTATTAAAGTTTCATTTATGTTTTTTTTTCCTCAAATTTTTCAGAACTGCATTTAATATTTTTTAAAGCAATATTATATATGTAACGAATATTTTTGAGAAACTAAGATAAATTTATCAGTATTATTATTTTTTTTTTTAGCAACATGAATACCCTTAACTGGTTGCTTGGTTGTCTCTAATACATGGAATTATTACATTTGATAAATTACCTCGGAAAATTCATTTTTGCCAGAAAATTCACTTACAATTCTAAAAGAGTTTTTCCAATATCTTGACTACCCCTGCTGCTGCTATATAAATAATATAAACATATGTACTTAATCAGGCCACAATCACTACAACTTTACAAGTAAAAAATAAAAGCAGAGATACATTTATATACATATATCATATATATATATATATACATTATATATTATATCATAGCTATTTATTGTTTAGTTATTTATGATTTTCGTTTGTCGACGAAGAAGAAGAAGATTGATAAATTGTATGCTAAATGTTAAATGTTTGCTTATTCAAACACTTTATTGCCAATTATAAGTTACAAAAAAACAAAAAGAAATGAAAAACGAAATGAAAAAAACAAAACAAAAATGTTTAAATTAATTGTTAGTTAGCTAAAGTTATACATCTACTAAAAACAAATTGTGTAAGACAAGGACAACAACAAACACGACGGAGAAGACGAAGAGGAAGAACAACCAAGTAGACAAATGTTAAACATACAATTTTGTTGCCATTTTTGCCTAAATCAACTATGTTACAAAAACAAAAAACAAACAAGAAAAAAAATAAATAAAAATAAAAAAAATTATATATATATATTATCGTATATATATATATATATTTATCAGAGATATTATATATGAGATGCAAATTTTATGAAGCTATTTAAATATAAAGTAAATATGCATAAACGCAAACAAATATATATATATTATATATATATATGTATTTATAAATCGCATAGGGCACGCCTCAACGCATGCAACACACAATTTTTCACATGAATAGCTAAATTTTTCGCATCGCACATAATTTATTTCCATTAAGAACAAAATATGAGAATCGAATCACATTCCTTCATTGCCTTTTTAGTCGCATTCATCCATAAGAAAAAAAAACTTAAAAAAAAGACAAAAAAACATATAAATAAAAATCATAAACTTATTGAATTAATTAACAAAAGCGAGCATCAACTAATTGTATTGCATTATTATATATTTCGTATTATTCCAATTATCCAAGCGTAGTAATCACCAAAAACCAAAAACAAAACCAAAAGGCTATACTTTAATCAACCCACACACATACCACTACCACAATCCCCTCACACCCCCTCCTCCCTTGTTAATGAAACAAGATGAATATTACATATATACTATATATACAATATCATATATGATGATTCGTCGACTTCGACGCTGAATACAGACTAATTATTTTTTATAATATAAAGCAAATCGACATCTGGTTTTATTGCATTTTTATCGGGGCGGGGTGCGGGTAACGCGAACTCGAATCGAGTCACAGTTGGCCGAAAAAAAAAATTGTTGACATTTTATAGATAGATATATATATATCAAAGCTCTACTGACACCCCCTCTACGTAAATAGGGGTTGGGGGTCTGAGCAATAAAACAAGCTGGCAAAGTTACGATTCCTTGTTCGTGTTTTTGCGTCAAGTCGAACTGCCAAATACTCTGGAGGTAAGTTTTAAACGAATTACGGATTTTACGACTTTCGAACTAGTTTTGAATGGGAAAGGCATTTTATAGCATGGAAATACTCTAGAAATGAAGGTAAAGTTAGGAAGTTTAGAGAGTGCGCTATAGATGTATATATAACAAATATGTTAAACTCTTATACTGTTTGACATCCACATACAGCCGTGTTCCTGTAATTTGCAATGGCAAGGGAATCATACCTACTAGAAATTCAAATTATTGACAACGATTTTTTCTCAAGGAGCCATTATATTTTTCGATTTATCTCGATTTTTGATTTAGCGTGGTACAAATTATCAGACTCGACTGTATAAATATAGTAGCTGAAACACTAAAAATGCACAGAATGGTTTCACATGGTTTTCTTTCTAAAGTAAGTTAGCTATAGGTATAACTATATTATTTTTACGAAATTTGTTAGACGAAGTCCTAAATTGATTTATATAATATATTTCATTTATTTTTTTTTTTTTTTATTTTAGATATATTTTTAAAATATCTTTATAGTATGTTTAAGCATTGAGTAAAGCTGCCTCAAGTGGAGATAGTATATATGAGATTTATTTAATCTTCCTGCTCTTTACTACTCTAACATCTTCTAGATGTGAAAAAAAAAACTTTTCCCTTACTATTTTAACTTATTCTAGTTATGAACATTTAACTGCAATGTGGAATTATTTATAGAAAATTAAATACCAAATATATATATACTATGACTTTCCATAGTCCAAACGCTTCACATAGTATTCCTAGCCCTTTTGCTGTTTAGAGTATTTGGCGCAATAAAATTGTGTTGGCACCTTCTGGCAAATGCCACGCAACAATGCGACTACACTAAGTAGAGCTTCCACTTCACACACACACACACACACACACATACACCCATGCACGCTGTCAACCCGCTGCCCCCAGCCAACTCTCCCTTGACTTGCACCCCGCAGCGATTTTTCTTCGACTTCGCCTTTTGTCTGCCGCCTTTTTCGTGTCGCGCTGGCAAACGTCGCAATTTCTTTTGTACAACCCTCTTATCACGGCAAAACTTTAAAAGCGAACGAAGAAAAAAAATTTATTCGCAATTCGCAGTCACAAATGCAAATGCTGCCACGCCCACACCCACACATCAGGAGAGAGAGAGAGAGAGAGCGCCCCTCCTCGTTCGAAGTCTGCTCGCCATATGTTGCCAATTGAGGCGAAAATCGAAAAACGCGTCTATGCTGGATTGTTTATGACCCTAGAGGCTGCACGAGTCCAGGGATGCCAGGGCGGGGCAGCGAGTGGCAGGTCCTTTGGCAGGACTTTCTTCTGCAACAACAGCCACTACTGGACCTGTCGCCTTTTAATTATGGCTCGCAAATTATTTTCGAATTTTTCATCAGGCTGCGGAAATAAATGTCGACTGCAATTTCCCTTCAAACAGGATGCCAAAAGGATTCGAACCATATTTTTTCCACCTTTTTTTTTACCTGTTTTCCCATATTTATATATATGTATATATATATGTATGTATGTGTGTGTGTGTATGTATTTAGCTGTTGGACGTTGCTTTGACGTGACCTAAAAAAATTATATTCACACTCACTTCACATCACGTCAAGTTGAATAAAGCGACGCGGGCGGGATTTCTCCTGGAGAGAGAGAGGGCTCAAATATGCATATTACTATACACATACATACATATATATGTACGTACATATGTATTGCAGTATATACTCATTAAAATATATGTTCCACTTGCAATTAGAGTTTGTCATTTGGCAGCGTGCGAGTTAATCCAGACATTCGGATATTGTTAACAAGCCCGCATCCAGAATATAACACAGATATATACATATGTATATATACTCACATATGAACATACATATACATATATCGACTTCTTTCAGGTCTCACTGTGTGTCCGCCCCATTAGCTCTTTGCATATTAGAAATTTTCCAATTAGACTTTCATAAACTAAACACAAGCAGGGAGTTAGCTATGAATAGGTAGAAAATCCAGAAAAGCAGAGAAGGTAGAGGTAGATAATATAAGAAGAGCCAAGAGAAGAGGACAGACCAAGAGATAAGATAAGAGGAGCGAAGAAAGTGGAGAAGAGAGAAGTAAAGTGTTGCATTATGATTCAGCTTGATCCGATGATGATCTAGTACTACCTATACCCCTCTATATAACTTGTATTATTTAATCCAAATAGAGATAGCCAAAGAATAGAGATAGCTGGAAATATCAGAAAAAACGAGAGGAGCGAGGAAAAGAGAACAGAAGAGTATAAAAGAGAAGATGAAAGAATAGAATAGGATAGAAGAAAAGAGAAGAAGCGAATTTAAAGAAGAGAAGTGAAGAAACCAAATGAAGGCAAAACCAGTATACCCTGATTTCCTTCATTTTTTCAATGGGTTCAGAGCATAAAAAGTGATGCGTCTATTACTTTTCCTCTTCTTGTTCTCACTTACCAATACCTCCATATGTCTGTATTCTATAACTTTTAATATTTAAGAGAGAAGAGAAGAATGTACTTATGATTTCTTCTCTTAGATATGATTAGATGATACTCTGGCATTACCTATGTATATCCTATTATTTGTTTGTTTTAATCCCACTACCTTTCAGCCATTGATCAGACTGAAATTCAGTTGACCAAAATTATTTATGTAGCTCGCTCGCTATGAGCGAACCCGTCTCGAGCCGTGGGCGTCGGTTCATCTTCAATGCCGTTCTCTTGACAACGTCCGGTCTGGCGGCCCGTAAGCTGAGTGCGGAGCAGCAGCCCTTCGCGATGGTCGCCTGTGTGGTGGGCGGCGTCGCTGCTGCGCTGGGTCTGCTGCGCGTCGCGTTCGGTAGTGCGGGCGAGGGGCCGTATCGGCGGTATCGGGCAAACGAGCGGGACTTCCGGATGCTTCGCAATGTCAGCCAGGGCGTTTTGGAGCTGATACCCCTGCCGTTGGTGAACATGGAGCTGTACGCGCACTCGCTCGGCCTGGGTCCCCTGGCCCTGGCCCATGGCATTTTCGTGGTGCCGCTGCTCTTCGACTTGTACTGCTCGATGGTGAAGCAGCGCAAGGACTGTGACTTGACTGAATCGCTGCGCGATCTCTCTATGCTGGGCAACATCATATCCATCGGTTTTCTGTCTGTCAAAGAGTCAAACTTCATTTATATGCGCATGACTCTAATCATGCTGCTGATCAGATTCTATCCGGTGATCATGGACACCGCCCATGAGGAAGCGGGTGAAGATCTGGTTGTCTGTGGCACCGCGCTGTTCTTCCATATGCTCGGCAAGGTGGCTCAACAATGGACGGAAGCATCAAGTTGACAGTCAATCATCATCAATCCACATTGATTTTCCACAGTGTGAGATCTCAGGATCTCAGGATCTCATGGTCAGTCAATCATCATCAATCCACATTGATTTTCCACAGTGTGAGATCTCAGGATCTCAGGATCTCATGGTGTCAACTCGTGGTCCAATTTGTCAATCAAGCAACAAGCTGAATAACCGAATACAATTTACTATTGCGACCAATCTATCAATCTTAACACTGTCTTTTAGCTTGGACATGGTGACTTTACAATAGCCAACAATATAAATGTATGTTCAATCATTAACAATCGTTGTAGATTGTTCAATCATTAACAATCGTTGTAGATTCTTTGCTGCTCTTTCTTTCCATTTAACTTTAATAATCTCACTCATTCAATCATCATCAATTCCCCATCGACTGTCGCCTGCACTCTAAGGCTTCGATTCGATTTCGAGTTCACCAGAATTAGCTTGACTTGTATTGAGTTACGTTGAAATCACCTTCTCAATTGTTGGTCATGTTTTTCTAATTGCCAAACACGCTTTCAAAATGACCCTCAGCTGGCTCCTAAGCCCACTTGTAGGACTTCAACTGGTGTGTCATATGAATTCGATATACCCCTATGAATTTCGATGCGAATGGCTGAATGATTGATTGACTGAAAATGTGCTGGAAGCGGAACTGAAGTATTGAGGTAGTGCAAGACGGTTCAGCTGTGAGTTGATGAGGTTGTCGAAAATTAAAACTTTGAATGTTTGAGTATATGAAAAGGTTTTCATAAAATAAATACTAAGTACCATAGAAAATGAATCTTTTAATCAGCGCTGATTGATGGATGATTGATTGATGGATTTTCTTCATGACTAACTGATTGTCAAACGAACTATCGCTTACTTATGTGATGATAGATTTAGACTAGACTAAGACAAGACTTTATTCTGGGCGTACTGCTAATGTATTGAGTAGTTAGATCTCTTTTATAGGTAGATTGATGGAACTGATTGGTGACTGACTGACTGACTGATAAGAAAGTATCTTGGACTATTTGACTGACTTAGTGATTAAACTTAATATGGTTGATTGACTGAAAAGCTAACTAATTGACTGTCCCAATCGTAACTATTGACTGACTGACATTTGGTCCAGCTGAGGAGCTTACGACTGAATCTCTGATTGAGTGATTGCATAACTCGAATCATTGCCTTACTGAATCGCACAATTCTATACCATCAATTTAAATAATATCTATATCTTAAATCAATATTTGACTTTAAGCGAACGCAAATACTTTCGACGCCAAACCCAAAGAGCAAAGTCATCAATTTTTCTCCTTTTTTTTTTGGAAACATTTAGGAATTTGTGATAAAAAAAATATATATATTTGAGCACCTTTTCATGCCGTTCTTGTTTTTTAACCGAATTGTATTGGCATTTGGTAAAAGGTCCGTTTAATCTAAAACCCAGATTCCTAAAGAGCTTTGCGTGTCATTCCAGTGGCTGTTCCAGAGGCTGAGCGCGGCTCTGCTTCCATTGGGCTAACGATGCGGATATGCAATGGCAATGGCAATGGCAATGGCAACACTTGAGCATGCCGAGCACGTGCCACGCCCCCAGTCCAAGCATAAAGAAAAATAATAATTCAACTTTATTTGTGCCACATACCTAGGCATGTGTGGGCGGGTGGGGGCAGGGCGAAAACGAAAACGAAGACGGAGGCAAAGGCGAAGGCAAAGGAGCCTTCCCTCGTAGTCCCACTCTCACTCTCCCTCCCTCTCTTACTTTCTGTGACTTCCCACATAGTTGTAGCTGGCAGCTCGGGCAGCTGTTCCTTGTCAACACCCAAACAACAACAACAACAAAGAGCCATGGCAAATTTAATCGAAAGCGTGTAATTGACCTCAGCAAATGGCACGAAGGCGGCCGTGGGTGCGGGTGCGGGTGGGGGGCGTGGCTTTGTCGAAAGCTTAGCCAGCTGCCATCAAATCATTATCAGTTAAATAAACGACAGCGCCAAGTTAAAAAGATAACGAAGTCGTTGCTGTTGCTGCCGTGTGGCGACACCAACATAAGCAGCAGCAGCAGCAGCAGCCGCAGTAGCAGCAGCAACAGATGATATCTGCTCCAGCAATGCGCCAATGTGCCACATCCTCTACCCACCAATTGCCCCCGCCCTCGCACACACACACAAACGAACAAACCCCCCACCTCGCTCACTTACAATAGACAGACGTAAGCCGCCGTCGTTTTATGCTAATTCAAATGGAAATGGAGCCAGTCAGCAGCTGCTCCTGCCAGCAACGGGGCTAGAGCTGAGCAAGTGTCACGACCCAAGACGATATATCACGGCAGTAGATTGGTCCTCGGCACAAATGTGTTTGCCAGCTAGTGGAGTATACAGATGCATTGCCTACATTTTTGTTATTATTTAAATATTTCTTAAATGCCAAAAATGAAAACTTAATCGGAAAAAAATGTAAATAAATATATTAAATAAAATAAAAACATTTGAAAAATATTTGCAAGCACATTTTATGTATTTAATGGTTGTGATAAAAAAAATTAAATAGTAAATGTCATTTTCTTAAGACAGAAATTACTGCCTAAGAATTAAACTCAAAACAGTAATATTATAAATATTAAAATATATATAAGAAAATGTTAATATAATTTATAATAAATTTTAATAAAAAAAAAAAAAATTAAATTAAATCCCTAAAAAAATTATATTTGTATATATATTAAAGAACATTACACACAAACAAAAAATTTAGTAATATTTGATTTTTTTTTAATTTTTTGTTATGATATATGCAATATTTAAAATTTTTTGTTTGTGTGGGATTTTTTTTTTAAATTTTAAAACAAAATATTTTTATTAAGGTTTTTATCTTTTTTATTTATTTATTTTTATACTATTTTAATAACCTAAACAATACAAAAAGAAGTTCTTAAAAAAAAAAAATGAAAAAATATATGCTTAAAAAATAAATAATTAATACAATAAATAATAATATATATGCTACAATAAATAATAACAAATTACTTAGGCAAAACCCTTAAAAGTATGTTATATATAAATTAAATCTATTATTTAAGTCTGCTGTTCCTTATGTTCATATTGATATATTTTATTTATATTATTTTATACGCATTATTTTATATTTCTGATCGCCCTCGATAGCTGGCAATCGTGCTCGTGTTTGGTTTTGTCAAACGGGAATCGCGACCATCTTTACTTCCGTGGCTTAGCCAGTGTTGTCAACGACCGTTTGCCGTTTCATTATATGCGACTGGGCGTGGCTGCTGGCGCCTTGATCGGCCCGCACTGATAGCCAAACCAGAGCCGTGCGGCACTGAGGCAGGGAGGGCATACAGGGATGTAATACATACGCGTACGTAGTATGCAGATGCGTATATGTATTAAAGGAGACTCGGCTCGACTTGCCTCGACTCGACTCGACATTCCTTGCAAGGCAAATTCGCCATGATTTTCATATAATTTCCGCATCATAAAGCTGCGAAAGTAATTTTCCACTCGAAAGCACAGAAGGCATAGCCAACAAACAGAGCCACAACCAGGGCCAGCACCAGCACCAGCACCAGAGCCAGAGCCGTAGCCGTAGCCGTAGCCTCAGCCAAAAAAGTGTGAAAGACTCAACTTTAACACAGGCCTGCCTATGTGTTGGTGTGTGTGTGTGGCGTATTTTGGGTCTTGTTTTTGTTGCCACATTTGGAACATTTTGTGTTGTCACCTTTTTGAAGCAGCAGCAGCAGCAGCAGCAGGAGACGGGGCAGGAGGCGGCATGCAAATAAGAGCAAAAATCAAGAGCTGAGATTTCTCAGCACATTAAATCGACAGACGAAGCTCTTTAAGGCGCACATAAGATTAGGCTAAGCAGCTGGGCGCACACACATACACATACACACACACACACACACACACACACACACAGACAGTCAGGGAGTGGCACAACAAATTTCATTATGCCGCTCACGTGCGAGACAACCAAATTCACTGCGAAATAAAGAAAAACCAAAAAGGAAAAAAACAAAAACAAAAAGAAAAGCTAAGCTAAAATGAAAAGCAAAAGAGGAGCAACGGGCGAAAGCGTGAGCGAGACAGCGAGCATTCAGAGCGAGCGAATAAAGCATATCGGAAGGAAGCGGCAGTTGGCAAAGCAAAACACGCACAAACGCTGCCAGGAGGAAGCGGCGAAGGTGCAGGCGGGGCAGGCGGGGCAGGCGGGACAGGGAGCAGGTCAAAAGAGGAGACGCCAATAGAGGAGTCGCAGCAGCTAACGGAACTCAGTCAATGCCCGCAGCAATGTAAAAAAAAACAGCAACAACAACAACAAAACAAATCAACAAAAAGAACAACGAACGAACGAACGACAAAGTAAACACACACAAAAACAAAACAAGCCAAAAACTCTAAGAAAAGCCTCCTTTTCAGCCCATGCCACGCCCCAGCCCGCCCCAAGGCATGGGCTGCTATAAAAATGCCCAGCACCAATTTGGAGATAATTGAACAGGTGTAACAACAACAACAACAACAACAACTGCTGGCTGACTGACTGACAATCCCAGATACCCCCAATGTGAGCATCCTTTGGCCAGCCTCACAACGGTATAACTGTACTAAATGCGCCCACGCCCACCTTTCGTAACGCTAAAATTGGCCTATTTATAGTTCCCATATGATTTCGTGCCATGACCATAAAATGTTTAAATAGTTTTTAAGGGTTCGTCTCTATGCCGGAGTTTATCTCAGTCAGTCAGTCTCTCTCTCTCTCTCTCTCTCTCTCTGGTAATGGTTTATTATGGCTAGAGTCTGCTTTAGTCACCGCAATTAGGATGTCTTCTATGATATATAGTATGGCTGCATGTGTGGGATGATTCGTCATAGAGTCAATAGCAACTCGGGGAACAGCTAAGCACACGTTAAAGGGATTTTAAATGATTTAAGGCTTGCTGACAGCTCATAAGTCTATTAAGCTTCTAGATATACATACATATACATACATATGTATGGAAGCATGATATATT